TGGCTTGACTTTTCATTCTTCCCATAGTGACTTTATTGAATAGAGTTTCTTAGTTTTAATGTGTTCAAATTCATAACCTTCCCCTGTATGGTTCAGTGCTTTTCTGTGTTTGGTTTAAGCTTATGGTCTTCATTTACAAATTCCAGGAAACCAGAGCGAATCAGCTGGCACTGTTCAGGGGAGAGACTAAGGTGGATGGGCTCGACCAGTGTAGCTCAATGGTTGAGCGTCGACCTATGAACCACGAGGTCATGGTTCCATTCCCCGTCAGGGCACATGCCCAGGCTGCAGGCTCAACACCCTGCAGGGGGCATGCAGGAGGCAGCTGATCAATGATTCTCTCTCATCATTGATGTTTCTATCTCTCTCTCTCCCTCTCCCTTCCTCTCTGAAATTAGAAAATTATTTTTTTAAAGAAGAAGGTGGGTGGTATACACTGGGTTTTAGGCTATCCTCGAAAGTAGCTTTTACAAACAGTAAGTCTATTTGTGGCTTGGGTTCTTTTTTAAATTAACACTGAATTTATTGAAATAAAAATTAAAAGCTCATATCCTTAAGTTTTTATTAAGTTCTAATTAAAACCTTAATCTTCTATCTATAAATCTAAGAGGATCTTTAAAACCTAGTTAATTAAATCCCCTAAGTAGTTTAGGTTGAATATATATTAATATAACCAATTTTCTTTTTAAGCATATATCTGTAATTCCATTTTTAAACATTGCATTTGTTTCTAACAAGTAAAGCCTTCCTATGAACATGGTGAATATTATAAACCTAATAAAATAAACATATACAATTGAATTTTTATATCTTTATAATCACCATTAAATCTCTCACTGAAGTACTATACTCCATTAAAATTGGAATCATAACTAATCTGTCACATATACCAAATTTGTATGCACTACTATTCAATATACACAAATTATTCTTAAAATATTCCAAAGAATTATATCATTGGCTTTGTATTTTATTTTTTTTTCTTTAGATACTGTAATTATAAACATGCCCTGGTTTTTAAAATTACCTTCTAAGATGGTAGTTTTTACCAGGGATGATGCTGCCCTCTAGGGGACATTTGTGGGATTTGACCGCGCACTCCGCACCTCAGAATTTGCCTTCAGCACTGCGCCTCCTCTGAGTGTCCGAATGCTTTACTCTTTCCTCCTAGTTGTAGGACTTCCACTCAGCCACCGTTCCTGTGGTTCTGGATGATGTCCCTTCCGTCTTTTAGTTTCACTTTTGAAATGGTTGTTCGAGGCGGCAAACTCCGGCGTTAACCTATGCCGCCATCTTGGTTCTTTCTCCATTGCATTTGTTTCTAACAAGTAAAGCCTTCCTATGAACATGGTGAATATTATAAACCTAATAAAATAAACATATACAATTTTGAATTTTTATCTTTATAATCACCATTAAATCTCTCACTGAAGTACTATACTCCATTAAAATTGGAATCATAACTAATCTGTCACATATACCAAATTTGTATGCACTACTATTCAATATACACAAATTATTCTTAAAATATTCCAAAGAATTATATCATTGGCTTTGTATTTTATTTTTTTTTCTTTAGATACTGTAATTATAAACATGCCCTGGTTTTTAAAATTACCTTCTAAGATGGTAGTTTTTACCAGGGATGATGCTGCCCTCTAGGGGACATTTGTGGGATTTGATGGCATGTTTTTAGTCGTCATAGTGATGGAGGGACGCTCTAGTCAGGCACATGGGGGTCAGGATGCCTGACCTCCCGACATGAGCAGGACAGTCCTCACAGCTAGAAGTTGTCCTGTACAAACTTCAGAGGTCCCTTCATGTCAACAAAAAATCCATAGTCCCCGCGCCTAGGACTTCACCGTTTTCCACATAAGCAATTTTTGCGTGGTTTTGATACAGAATGAATTTTCCAGGAATTGCAATTATCTTGCAAATCAGAGAGACACTGTACTTTGCTGTGTCCTGAACTTTACCAAGATCTATTGACAGTTTCAGAAAATGGTGCTTTGAGTAGCAGTGTCACTCATGGTCCCTGAGTCAGTCTGCGTGTGCAGCAGTCCCATTCACGGTGCTTAGATAAAGTTATACAGACAGGGAATATAGACGTATTTCTTCATCCCTTGTTTCAAATGATCAAATATAAAAACTTCATAATTTCCAATTATATATTGTATTATCTTAAATCTAAACTTAAATAAGGCAACTGATTTATTATATCTTCTGCTACAATAGTGCTCGAGCATATAAATATTGAAATAACTTTTATTTCTCTTTCATATTACAGTTTTGGCAGTCTATTGTGTGTAACTAGATGATGTTATGTATGAAGTCCAGTTCAGGATAGACGAGATTATTACAAAGTATTTTTAAATCCCAAACAATCTCTATGCAGCCCTGGATTGTCAGTGATGACACTGCTATTCTGTGCCCTGGGATGAACAACCGAGCGAGTGGCTGACGGGTAGAGGCCCGGCAGCAGCAACAACCGACTAAGGATGGACACGCCCAGCAGGCAGGTGTGGACTTCCAATGCCAGGCTCTCAGAAAGGGGCCCGCCAGTTCTAGGACTGAAATGGACAAACTAAGCCTGCAGCATCATGTAGTGCCAGACTGTAAGGAAGTTTACACACACACACACTCACACTCACTCTGACTCACACACCTACACACATACACACACACCTACACACACTCACACTCACACACCTACACACTCACACACACACCTACACACACTCACACACACACCTACACACTCACACACACCCCTACACATATACACACACTCACACACCTACACACCTACACACACTCACACTCACACACCTACACACATACACACACTCACACACCTACACACATACACACTACACACCTACACACATATATCTACACACACTCTCTCACACACACACTCACACTCACACACCTACACACACATATCTACACAAACGCACACACACACACTCACACTCATACACACACACACACTCACACACTCTCACACACACATACACTCACACTCACACACCTACATACATATATCTACACACACACTCTCACACACACACACTCACACTCATACACACATATATCTACACAAACTCACACACACACACTCACACTCATACACACACACACTCACACACTCTCTCTCACACACACATACACTCACACTCACACACCTACATACATATATCTACACACACACTCTCTCTCACACACTCATACACACACTCACACTCATACACACACACACACACACACTCCATGGTGGGGTGCGTGTCAGAGACACAGGAAGCAACTAAAAGACCGGCAATAGCCAAAGCAGGAAAAACTTGAGCAGCCGAATAAAGCGCTATCGGATTCTAAACCGAAGTGTAAAGTAAGTATCAGTGAGTCCACGCTGGTGCAAACCAATGACTCAGTCCGTAGGAGAGGAGAGCGGTCTCCCACGCAGAATTCCAAGCCACGGAAGGAGGTTCTGCCGCTCCGCGCACTCTGAGTGTGGGCTGTCCCCGGACCTCCTCCCAAAGCGGGGGGCACCCTCAGACAGTGAAGAGATGGGGGGCTAGCGAGGTGCCCTGGGAGGAAACGCGCCCAAATGAAGCGAAGCGCAGGGAGACATTGCGGGGTTGTCTGGGTTTGTCTTTGGTTGGGGGTCGGTGGGGGCGGATACAACTCGGAACCACGCCCCTGGCTGCGGCGTCCGCGCTTCAGGCTCTTTCCTCCCGGGCAGAGCGCTCGAGCCGGAG